TCATTCATTCATTGATAATGCTACATCAGTTCAATATGTAATATTTTGTCAGGTGAGTTCATCTAAAAGAACTACATATGTCATTACCACTCCATCTATACAACGTATATATATATATGCAAGTCAATATGTGTATATGTATATATATATATATATTTCTTCAACCCACCTTCCCATGGTTCCCATCGTTCGCGTTAAGCTCCAAGCATCATGGCAAAGGTGGCAGTGGTGGTGCCAAGACAGCTAACTCCCCAGGCCTTTCCGTCCAGCACAAAGAAGGCCCCGAAGTCAAGAAATGCGCTGCTGTACGTCATGTCCTGCAACATGTCCGCACGAAACAGACTGCGAGGCTCCGAGGTCAGTGTCTGTCAGAAACCCATGAAAAACAACGGTTTGATTAGCAAATATGTGGATTTTTACCAACGATTATACCAGTATTGATAGGGATATTTAGTTTCTAAATTTCTCATGGTAAAGGCGTGAAACAATTTCCTTTTTCAGGAATAGGTTCATAGAATCGCCAAGGATGGAAACAGGAAACCATGCTTTATGGAAGTTGCTGGGTAATGATCCAACAAATGGCAGTTCCAGAGGAAAATCATGTTTTTACCCAAGTATAATATGGGGTTCCTGTAATTTTTCCCATCATCCAATGTTTGAATGTTAAAAACATTGACAAACAATAGCCCGAACACCAATACTCAGTGAGCACCTGCCTGGCTCGCAAAAAATACAGGATCATCATCATATATCATCATCATTTATCATCACCATCAGAGGCCCAATGCAAGGCCTGCTACGTTATAGATTTACTCATCTCCTGGTTTTCCGATGTGTGTCGAATATTAAACTGGAATTGCCATGCTTTCCCCAGAGGAAATAATGTGTTTCGGCTGTTCTGCTAAAAAACTGGACCGTGTATGTCCCAAATCGTAAATCTGAATCGGGTATGCATATAGTTGTTTGTAAACATTCGCCATCATGAACAGCGATCGCGAAATTGGCCGATGGGTCGGTTTTCCCATCAAAACGGCCCAAAACGATCTCAGCATGATGATATTGGAATATATTGGATTGGCTCAAGGGACATCCTTTAGGCTTGCCCTCCATATGTGGAGGTGAAAACCATGGATTTCGAATGTAGATTTCCCTTGAACAAATCCATCCAATGACACATGAAGATACTGTGAAAGTTGATTCTAGTTGTCAACTTATTTTTCCCAACCTGAAAGGTGAGGGTCTCTAGATTTTGACAAAGTGCATCTCCTTCCGCCCTTCCTTCCTTCCTTCCTTCCTTCCTTCCTTCCTTCCTTCCTTCCTTCCTTCTTCCTTCGCTTCCTCCTTCTTCCTTCCTTCCTTCCTTCCTTCCTTCCTTCCTTCCTTCCTTCCTTCCTTCCTTCCCCTCCCTCCCTCCCTCCCTCCCTCCCTTCCTTCCTTCCTTCCTTCCTTCCTTCCTCCTTTTTCGCCTTCTCCTCCTCCTCCATCCTCTCCTCCTCCTCGCTTGCTGCACTTGCTGCACTCGCTCCCATATCGCCAGCTCCGAATGCTGTGGGGCTCGCCTGGACCCGACCGCCATATTGCAAGCTCAGGAGGCTGTGAACACATGCCAGAGAGAATGCCATGCCAGAAAGATTGCCAGATAGAATGTCAGAATAGATGGCAGATAGAATGTCAGAATAGATGCCAGATAGAATGCTAGAAAGAATGTCAGAAAGAATGTTAGAAAGAATGTCAGAATAGATGCCAGATAGAATGCCAGATAGAATGTCAGATACAATGCCAATCAAAAATTGTGATTTGGGTGAAAAGTTCCAAGCTCCGTGGTGGAGGTGGAGGAAAATGAAGCAAAAGAGCATATATGTGACAGTGCGAGTCAATCCGCACATCCCGGGACCTATGGAAACCCAGAACAAAAAGGCAGGCCAGGAGGTGTGCCAATCAAAAAGGTTCGGCGGAAAAACTGGCTGCAGATTGTGCCACCCCCAAAAGTTTCCGGTCAGCCAACAAGTCAATGAAGCTGATTTAAAAAGGAAACAAGGGTGACAGTGGTACAAATACGGGGAAGAGAATGTCAAATAGGATGTCAGAACAATATGTCAGGGTGGGGATCACTCGAAGTAAAGTAATTGACTCAGACAAGAAAACCCCCATGTATGTTTATCAACAGCTTTCCCTAACCCAACAAAATAGGCACCAACATTCACCCATGGGTGCCCACAAGGTACCCCCGAGTTCCCTGATCGCCAGCGTCGTTCCTTCAAAGAAGCGCCTACAAGCCCAAAGATCTGAAAAGTCGCAACGGTCAAACCACCCTGAGACACAGGCTGACATGGCTGACATGCCAACTGCGAAATTTGGGTGACCTGAAAATGGGATGACAAAACAAACCCGGTGCCAGAAACTGATGCTTCACTTGTGGATTGAAAACTGGGTATCCTTAAACAAACACATGATGTTTGAAACCCCATGGTTTTTGGTGGATGACAATTCCAAATTCTGAAGCATGATCGTCTCATATAGGATAACCATAGGGTTCATCACATCAAGCAATCAAACCATATCCCTTGAGGGTACCGCCCCAGTCTCACCCCAATATACCCTGGGATGATCAGTTGTGTTTGCTCATTTGTCTTGCGAAATTCACATCAGATGGTCAAAATCGACACGTTTTGACACGCAGTATCACCCCAGAAGCTCCAATGACACGTTTCTAAGTACCCATAATTGGTGGGCACTTCCCATGACACGTTTCTAAGTACCCATAATTGGTGGGTACTTCCCATGACCCTAAGTACCCACCAATAGGCATCACCTTAGGGGGGTCACCGACACGGGAAAGACATGCGATGGCACGCAACAAGTGCCTACATTTTCCATTTGTGCAGGTGGTGCTTTACAATTCAGATTCAGGGTCTGGTAGTTTCTAAGATTGGGATGTGTGTCTTCCCAATCTCGGTATACCCTGGCAGCAGGGAAACGGATGACATCCTGTGTGGGGCTTTCATCATCCAGCCCATCAATGAGCAAAAGAAAAAGTGACGCTAATTGGTGACCTATGCTAACAGGCCACTAATGGTGGGTACTTAGAGGGTGCTGGTATATACCTGGGGAACCAAAACACCGCAAAAAAGCAGGTCGAAAGCCAATAACGAGGTAATTTATTGGACATGCCACAATGACCAAGTTTCCTGGAAAAAAAACAGGTGTTCCTCCAAAACACTACTTTTCCTGAACCTGATGTTGTATCCAACGAATATGAAGAAGATGTTACAGGCCCTCTACCCTGAGCATGAAAGAAAGCTGTCTTTTTGACAATGCTGGCTTAGACTCAATTTACAATTTCCTCCGAAAATGGACCAATCATGACCAATCTTAAATAGGGGAGACTCGCAGTTTCAATGCAAAACAGAAAGGCGCAGGTGCGTCATTCAAATTGAACCTCTTTTGCAAAAAGGCTTTGATATATAGTTCGGTGAAGTGGGAGATATACCGATAATTGTGGCTGAACTGAACCTAATTTATATAATATAGTGGATTTGAAATGGGGAAAAAGCAGGAACCCATATGAAACGCGAAGGAACACCGTAAAACCCCGTAGGAAACCCGTAGGAACATCGAAAACCCTGCACAAAACCCGTACGAACACCGTAAAACCGCAAAAGCCCGAAAACCCGTGCGTAACCCGTGCGTACCCCATAAACTCCCATGCGTATCCCATTAAAAACCCGTAATGGAAAACCTGGTGGTTTTTCCCATCTCTTGCCATCCAGTTTTTGGCGTGTCCAGATCGATCCGATGCGTCATTCTTGAATTCGGACAGCTGTTTTAGCAGCTGTTTGGATTGGGGGCCCAAGATAGAAAATTTGCCACAGGAGGCATTTACCAAACAGTAGATCTCGAACAGTAACATGTCGAACATCGTCGAACAGTTTGTCGAACATCACTAAAAAGGGCCAGGTTCAGACCGACCGCAGGGCCGGATGTGATGGGCCGCGGCGGCGAGTCGGCGAGTGAAACCCAAAGCTGGATAACTACCAAAAGTTGAAATGGATACTACACATTAAAATCATTTAAAATCCCAAAACCTGGTTTTTGGGTGAAGACATTGTTATTTTATGGACAACCTGCTTTTAAAACAAGGTGTTTGGTTCCGAAGGTATTGGCTTTAAGTGTTACCAACATGCGTGAAAGTTTATTCGTTGATATTCCCAGTAACCTCATATTTTTTCCCCGGTTCTCCAACTGAAGTAAGGGTGAATGCAGTCCATCTTCCCATCTAGCGAAAAATGAAGCCACAAATTTACCATTAAAACCAGGGTAAATCCACAAACAAACAAAAAAATAGCAAGAATTGCCAATGGATTGATGAACATAGGTAACATCTACACCGGAAAACCTACAGACTTTATTGCTTTTCTGCAGCTGTTCCCAACTCATCTCTGCGACCCATGTTTCATCCAAGGGGCCATCGCAGAGAGCATGAAGCTAGCAGAAGCCTACCATTTTTTGGGCCGGGCCCATGTGAAATCCGATGTTCACTGGCTTGGTCGGTGCTGTAGGTTGATGGCCCCCAACTAGGTATATCCATCGCATCCGTTGGCCCAGTTTCTTGAACGATGCCAGTAAACTAAGATATGGGTATGGGTCAAGTCATTGGGTGCCCCAATCATTTTTATGGTTCATACTAGAAATAGATAGAAAATCATCTAAAATCTGTGGTTTCCCAGGTCTTTAATTTTGACCCATACCTTTTGCTAAATCGGTGGTTTCCCAAGTCTTTAATTTTGATCCACACCAACGAATTATGGAACATCTGTAGATTGTTTCCAAACTGAAAACGACCATGGATTTCCAGAGCTACTGGAGACTAGACAGCTAAAAAATGACATGGAACTTTAGAGCAGTGGACCTAAAAAAACGGCCATGGGAAAATCCCCCAGTTATAATAGATTAAACTGGTAATATCTGGGGATTCACAGTAAAACATCAGCCGTTGATCTGGTTTTTTGGAACTGCCAATGTGAGGATGCCTGGAAACAGCAAAGATGGGAAGTAAAGGATGACTACTGTATGACTTGCCAAACCATCACAGGGACATAACATGGATGTGGTGGTCACAAATGGTATGCATGATATATATATATATATATTTGGCAAGGGCACAAAGAAGCGAATCCCGCTGCGGCCATCGCATGTCCCAATTCGATGGACTCATTGGTCCTGAAAAAGCACTCGACTCGCAAAGTCAGGTCCGTACGATTCACCGTACTCTGTGCAGACCATGGAGCGGCACAGCTCATGAAATTGCGAGGAGACCTGAACGGTTTCGTCCAGGGCAAGTTGGCTCAAGGCCTGAAGAATACCTGTCGCCAAGGCTAAACACAGCCCTGCATGGTGGGTATTCTTTCAGCTTGGAAGTGGCCCAGTTACCACCTGCATCACGTCCGATCGAGGTGCCCTTGGGGAGATCGTCACTCGTCCCGGATGGAGCACCTTGTAGAGGTCCGGAGCGTTGAGGATGGCCAAGGTGGTGGGCTTTGCTGACTGGGCTCCCCAAAGTCCTTGTGATATCGTCAGCTTGGAAAACTCCGGCAGTTGCAAGAGGGGCTGCATGATAGGGGTCCGCCAGATCGATGCGGTTCCTTCTTCTGGAGGTTCTGCTGGATGTTCCAGGACAGCGATGCCACCGGTACAGGAGAGCGCCGCCATAGCAATGAGTTGAAATCCCATCAAAAGGTTGCCAATGGTGATCTGCGCCAATTCCCGCAGGGATAGCGAGCTCATGCCCCAGGTTTCCTTCAGCGTCCTGATCACACGAGGGCAGGAGCGGCGACCAGAGGGCAAGGATGAAATTGGTTTGCCTCTAGCTCGCGACCAGGTCTCGCACGGAGGGCCACCAATCAGTGCGACAACCTGCTTGTCATAAATTGCGTTGATCCAGAATCTGCGAGATTCACTTTTGGAGAGATCCCCCATTGGTCATCAATGACGATGTCGACCGAGAGGACATAGATCTGCATTCCACCATGAAGATGTTCTCCTTCCTGCAAACAGATGGAGTATATGTAACGTTCTCGTCCAAAAAGGCGAGGAACAATGGGAGGCGAGGTCTCTGTGGGAATCTCCAACTCTGAGATGCAGAAATGCTCCAATTGCGAAATCGGACGATGCCAGGCAGACTGACTCGACTGAGACTGTTTGCACAGGAACGTCCAAGCGGAAGTCTGTCGCAAGGAATGAAGCAGGCTCTGCAGGTCAGATCCAGAAACGCGTAGCATCTGGGCATCATCATCGCTGAACATCTCCAAGAACTGCGCCAGACTGGCCGAGAAAATTTCCCAGGACACCGCATGTTGTTTGGCGATGTCTCTGACCGCCTTTTCACACGCCGCAATCGTCTCGAGCTCCAGGAAGTCCGTGTAGAGCTCTTCGATGATGTCCAGGTCGTAGTCCACGTCCGTGCGCAAGGGACCTGCTTTAACACATGGACCTTGCGCTTGAAGAGGAGGGAGAAGTCCGTCATGTTTCGCGTTGAGGGCATTCTCGACAATGGACCCCGATCCTGGCGCCGGCGTCCAGCGTTGACGTCGTCCCTGTAATGTATGACGGCACCGATGCGATGTCAAGAGGTGCGCCTTGAGTTTAGTGAAGGTGTGATACTCCTTCAAGCAGGCTCCACAATGCGTCTGAGCGAAAAGGTGTCGAACAGGGTTGACTCGGCCATGAACTTTGAAGAGATGTGCGCCACATCCACCTTTGCTGCCAAATTGGCGCTCACACAGCATGCATGCATGGACCTCAACAGGCACATGTGGCTTGTCCTGTGGAGGTGCCCCACGTAGTTTCCCAGCCTCATGCAGAATCGCGAGGACCTCGCCATGGAACTGGTTCACAATGTGCATGTTGTGGCGCTGACCTGTATCATGCGCTCCAGCGTGCCTGACGAGACGCTTCCAGTAGTTGGGGTGGAACTGCATGAGGTACTCCCAGCGTCCAAAATCTTGCTGTGGTGGTGGAAGCGCAGTAGTGTTCTCCAGGTGTCGATACATCCAAAGGAGATCATCTCTGATCAATTGGAGCCAGTCGTGATCCGAGTTGAGCAAACCGCAGCAAGCCGTATCCGAGCACTTATACAGAAGCCCCAAATGTCGAAGTCGACAAAGGCGGAGTAGTGTGGCTGGATCCGGAAGCCCTGTCAGTGTCAGGATCTCTTCATCGCTGCGTGGAGCCCGAACTTGATGTGGTAGAAGTCGGTTGTAGAGCCGCATGAGCGCGCTGTGTAGAAAGTGTCGGTCTCGTTGATCTCTGAGCGTCCACGACTCCGCTCCGTAAAGCAGCTTGCTCAGAATGAGTGTCCTGAAGAGTTCCCTTCGACGGGTCAAGGTCAGGCCTTTGTTTTGGTAAAGGAGACGTCGATGTTTCGTAAAGGCTGCATGAGCAATGCCAAGACGACGTCGCATCTCTTTACGTAGATCACTGCGATGATGTAGTGTACACAGCCGAGATGGGTGTACGAACTCACAATGTTCAGAAAACGTGGGCCCGCTTCCGTGACAATGGGGAAACTCCTGCCAGGTGAGTTCGGCCCAAAATGCTTCTTCTTGGCCTTGTTGGCGCCTTGACCTTGGAAAATGAGTAGCAGCTCAGTCTTGCCCTTCGCAAGGTTGGGAGACATGGCAAAGGCGTCACATAAGCCAAGTAGCTCACTGCCAATGCGGCCAGCGGCAAATTCCAAGCGGTCTGCCGTGGGGGCTGAGAAGGTAATGCACGTGTCGTCCATACACGTAGGTCCAAGGTAGGTCTTCGATGTTGTCGCTGAGGGACTGGTGGCATTCGAAAAGTCCTCGATCTTCAGGCCATGCTCCTCAGGTACAGAATCAAGTAGTCCACACTGTTGAAGAGACTGTTCCAGTTGTTGGAGTAGCCTTGCCCAAAGAAACGAAAAGACAATGTCGGCGAAACAGTCGCCTGGTCTGGTTCCGAGGGTAGTTCTGCAGCTGTCCTGTTGAAGACCCACATGAAAATGTGTGTCAGTATGCAGAGCTCGCAGAACTTTTTGAAGCTGAGGTGAAAGGCCAGCTCTTTCCACCGCTGAAGGATCTGCCAAGTGAGAATGCAGGTCATGTAAGAGGTCAGGTCCAAGCTGAAGACGAGCCCAAATGGCTGCTATCGCATGATCATCAGGGGGTCCACCAAGTGCGAGTTGCCGTACCACTCTGTAAAAGGCTTCCGAAAGGTCAAGAAATAGTAGTCCAGTGCAAAGTCCACTGCGTGATCTCGATCTCATGAAGGCTCTCGCTTGGTGCACTCCAAGAGATACCGGAATCCCTCGTTTGCCTCCAATCTGTTGGGACTGCAGATAGTGCTCGAAAGCGTCAGCCGTGTGCAATCGCAAGCATCTATGCAGTGACTTCCCAACGTGAGATGAAATAAGGACACTTCGGTATGCTGAACAAAGATATCTGGGTCCTTTCTGTTTCCATATGGGTTGGAGCCTGCCTCCTTTATGCAACAGACACTCCTGTCCGTGTGCAAAAAGTTTGATGAGTTGACTGTAGGTCTTTCTGGCAAAGATTGCTGGGTGCTTGGCACACATTGAGGCATCAATGCGATCTGGACCTGTCGCTTTGTGTGGTTTGACATGTCGATAGGCCATTTCGAGTTCCACAAGGGAAGGAACATCCTCAATCTGAAGTTGAAGGGATGTGGCTCGGAATGACTTCAAATTGTCAATCCAAAGGCTCCGTTGGAGAGGGGTGTCAACCCGCTGGCCTCCCTTCATTTCCTGGAAAAAGCGTATCCAGGTATCCAGGACCCTTTGCGGAGTGGTGCAAATGTTGCCCTCACAATCTTGAATCATCGGCAAGGTCTGCTGCTTGATGGCTCGTAAGTTCGTAGGACCAACGATCTTCTTGAGCTCATGCAGGATGGCGGACGCAGGTGCGTCTGGATGTAGTTGATCAAAGGCCTGTTGCAGGTGCCTGGTCTTGCACTTTTGAGACTAGCCTTGAGTCGTTGGGCAGAGAGCTGAAATCGGCCAAACAGCTTCACATTAAGGCACATGAGCCAACCATCATACTGCCAGAAACGATGCTGTAGATCTTGTGTGGGCTTCTTCCATGACGTGAGGCAAAACCGTAGGAGTTCACGTCGTCTTCGGCAGGCAATTTCTTTCAGACCTCGACGAGCCGCCAGCTTTTGAATGCGCAAATCCCATGTTGCCGAGTCAATGCCGGGCTTCTTGGGAGCTTGCCTTTTGGCTGGACACGTTTTGGCCAGTTCTTGTAAGATATGATGGTTGAAGGCATTGACCTGCTGTTCAATGTCCGTCTGCCAAGGAGGAACATCATGTGCCAGTAGTGCATCAAAGACATGATGTCGTTGTAGTTGATTAATGTCAATGAGCGCCTTTGTTCGTGGTGGAGCCGGTCCGGTGAACTTGTTTTCATGCCAATGAAGTTGAACTGCGACGGCTTGATGATCGTGGTGACTATTG